GGAGTTTGTCCAAGTGGCATGCCTTCTTACTCACAACTCCACTCTCCAGCTTCATAGCTTTGAGGATGGGAAATCCGGCGTCTCCTCCTCTCTCGAGATAAAAGAAGTACCAAAACAGGGTGTTTTTTTTCTTATAATCAGATCTTTCCATCTTCACTTCTAACAACCAAACACACATAAATAAAAGCACAATTTGACAATATCCGGTAAGTTATAGAGGCAGTAAAGTGAAATGGCTAGAGCTCCAGGCCCTGAAGTCAGAGAATTCAGTGCCTACCTCAAGATTATTGTAAAGATAAGCGAGAAAAAGCATATAACATGGGCTTAGCATTGTGTCTGGAACCCCAGTAAAGCACTCAGTAGAAGCTAACTCCTCCTCCTCATCATCATCATCATGAGATGCACTATGTTATTCTACCTAATAGGGCAATGCTAATTGCACTGGACACTAGGTCCATAACAACTAAACTACATTAGTCAGTAAAGGAGAGTACTGATGTCTTTACTGAGATAAATTTCAGGGGATTAGATAGCTAGTTGGGTACACAGGTATTCCAAATAACTTTTAGTCACCTCAATTTTAAGGCCTCGTTTACTGATTTGCAGTAATGGTAACAGTTGAGTAAACTCCCTATTTTTGATAGTAGTGATCCAGTAAGTTACAGCAGCCGAGTGCTTTTAAATCGCCATTTGAAGCTTGACATCACCGTTATAAGATACATCCACTTACTTAACCAGGCATAAGATACCATTCCAAGGAGGACAGCAATCAAAATGCATTGTGTACAAAGTCAGTGGAATCTATTCTACTCACCACAGTTCCTCAATGACAGAGACTTTTTAATATTGCCAATCTTTTCACTAATATGAAAGCATATTTGGTCCAAACACAATGTCAAAAAACAAAAGCCAGACAAATTTCTGCTCACTTTCCAAATCCAAGAATGGCTCACATCCAGTAGGTCACATGCACTTGAAAATAAAATACGAGATGTCAAGAACAATTCTACGAAATTCAGTTTCTAACCAAAGTCCAGTACTGACTGGTCTGAGCCTCCTGTAGTCTAAGCATCCCCAACATGGTACAGGAAATAAACCTGCATCATCTCTTTAAGGCAGCAGTTCTCAACCTGTGAGTCCAACGACCCTTTCACAGGGGTCGCCTAAGACCATCGGAAAACACATATATAATTATTGTTTTTGTGATTAATCACTATGCTTTAATTATGTTCAATTTGTAACAATGAAAATACATCCTGCATATCAGATATTTACATCACGATTCATAACAGTAGCAACATTACAGTTATGAAGTAGCAACGAAAATAATTTTATGGTTGGGGGGTCACCACAACATGAGGAGCTGTATTAAAGGGTCGCGGCATTAGGAAGGTTGAGAACCACTGCTTTAAGTATTCAGGGGGACAAATACATATATAAAGCCAACCTTGCCGTTTTCTTTTTAAAAAACGCAACATAGACACGAATTTTACGAAATAACACAGCAAGTGCAAAGAAACGGGTGCAGTAAACATTTCTCCCACGCTGGGGCGGGGGCTTTCCTGTGGGGGTCGGTAAGGAGGCGAGGGGAGGGGAGAGGAGGAAGGGGCTCAGCTACGGCCACTCCGAGGTGGGTGAGGGCGTCTCAAGCACCCGCTCCAGGTACCCCAGCCAGCGGCGCAGGAAGGCCAAGCCCTGCTCCTCCGCCGCCGCCCCCGCCCGGCGCGATCCCGCACCCCACACCCGTCCCAGCAATGCCTTCTGCCTGCTTCCGACGTCAGAATCCCCAATTTCCCGCGGGTCCGGGAGCAAAGGGCCCACTCGGGGCCGAGCGGCGAGCCACTCAATCTCTGATCTCAGCCAGAAGCCAGGGATCGCGAGACGCGACTCCGGGAGAGAAACAAATTGCCCGCCAGACCCGGAGCTGCGCGGGCGCACAACAGGCGCTCGCGGACCGCCCTGCACAGCTGGGA